GCATTAGCCACCACCACACCAAGTGACGGACCCAGGATGTTCTAAAGAAGATCCTAGAAGATCCTTAGGATCAGGAAGTGAATAACTCAAGAGCTTCAGGAAGTCCCTGAAACTATTCAGATTCAGTCAGTTCCACAAGGTTATATAAACAGTACAAACGTAAGACACAAGACACGCTGCCTGAGAGAAACAGAAACCAACCGAATTGCCTGGAAGCTGCGCATCAGTGAGACACTTTCAGATCGGCGAGCTGCATGCAAGTTGTGCAGCGAGCTCCAGGGTCCAGCTTCTGTGGGCACCGTCCACGCTGGGTGACTGCATCATTTCTGCTCCTGAAAGCAGTCCCCCATCTGTACTCCTGCAGGTGACCCCAACAGAACTCACTGGTGCATTTGGCTGGACTTCGATGGTACCCCTTGGCAGTCTCCCCGCCAGGGAGATTTGGTTCCCTTGGTTCCCCATCGGGGGCGCGTCTCCCAGGAACAGTATCACACACCATGTGCCCCAACTCAATATCCTCAGTACACCTGAGCTCTGCACCTTCTGCACTGAGTACAGCAGCCACAGAACGTGATCACGTCATACTGTCCTAAGAAGGCACGGTATGCAGCAGGTGCTCAATAAAAACACCACTCAGACCTACTCAGTAGCCACTGTAGCCTTCTCCCTCCACCTTTCCAACCTGAAATGGAAGTGCCTGTGCTGCTCAGAGCCCTGCTCACCCCGCCCCCTCCTGTCAATGCTCCTCCACCTGACCCTACACATGCCACGTGTCCCAGGTAAGGACTGACATTTCTAGTGCTCATTTTAGGAGTGCAGGGTAATTTGTGCCACCTTAGACTCTCACTGGCTGGCAGTCCCGTGAATGACCGAAGTCTCGGGTGATGAGCTCTGGTGGCTGGGAAAAGCAACGGTCTCTGGCTGCAGGGGCTACAGCAGGGAAAGGCCCGGGGAAGGGGCAGGCAGAACACCACCTCCCTCACAAGTGCCATTTCCGCTTCCTGTTGGGATGACGAAAGGTCCCACCCGGGGCTGATGTCTGTAGATAAGGCTGTAGACTGCCTCAGGAGACTCACCTCTTCAGGGATCAGTCAACCTGCCTGGGGACAGAGGAGGCTACTTGGAAGCCAGAACTATCAGCTGGAGGGCCTTGACAGCACGGGTGCATGAAGGCTGTGGGCTAATTCGGGCCGACAACCTTCCAAAGAGTCACCCACTGGGACACTGCCCTCCCGCTCTGTCCGGGAGAATAAATCACACTGTCAGCTTTAATTTGGGACTCGGCTGATGGGCTGTACAAGGCATCCATGCGTTCTGGCTATAGCGGTCAAGGGCGGCCACAATCCCAAGGCCAGTGCTAAAAAGCCTAGGAACTTCATGAGAGACAGGGTTGGGAGACCAACAGCTGTGTCCTGCCACACGCCAGACAAATTCCTGTTTCTCCTGTAAAACTCCTGGCCCGAGCCTCAAGCTTGGCCCAAGCTGCAAATTCCCGCTTCCCAGAACTCGGCTCTGTCATAGGCAGGCACCCTATGAGTTCGGAACTTGGTGGGGAAGGACCACAAGGGCAGCAGGCGCACTGGTGCTGCCTTAGGGGCTGCCACAGCCCACCTCTGCCATCCCTATCAGCAACGGCAGTGTCAGAATTAACGCCAGCTCATCAGCATACGTTAAGTGACCCGGTGCCAGGCACTGTCCCAGGTACTTAAGTTTATGAGCACATTTAACCTTTGAACCCCATTCCAGGCCAGCCAGTGGCGCAGCTGAGCCTGGAACTCTGTGCCTGTGTGCTTGGGCTCCCTGTCAACCCATTTTAATTTCACTGACGTGGAGAATGCTACTCTGAAGTGCCAAGTGAAGGCTAGGTGTAGGCCCTGGGTGCCCAGGGCCCTGTGGCTTTGCTGATTACAGCGCCTGCCATTCTGCAACATGCTGCACTACAGGGATGCACAGAGGTACCCAGACAACGTGGGCAGAGGCAACCAGCAGGACGCCAGGCCGGTGGCTGAGTGGGGGGGCTCTAGACAGGATAACGAAAAGCAGGGGTACCGTTGGGGAAAGGGTACCCCTTGGCAATCTGCAAGCCCCGCCCCCTCTCCCCTTGGGGCTCCTTGGGGCTGCAAGGAGCACACAGGATGGGTGTCGCACCCCAGAACTGGACAAGACTAGCGGGAGGGACTTATTCCCAGGTGTGTCCCTGGCTGGGAGACTGCCCACAGAGGCCGGATGCACTGCAGCCTGACAGGGTGAAATGTTCACATCGTTACTACGGGGACATGACAGCGGTGACCGCACAGGGTGGGTAACAAGGGCAGAGTGAGCTCATGCGTGGAGAGCGCTTACAGCAGGGCCTGGCGCGGAGTCAGCGCCCATTAATAGCGATTATTTGCGCTCTTCTCCCCTGCGGGGCCAGGCAGTGCCGGCTGCATCAGCACCTGGCTCTCTGCACTCCGCTGCTGCCCTCTTGGCCACTTCTTCCAGAAAGCTGGCAACTGAAATGAAAGTTCCTGCTTGCCTTGCAGGAGGGGTGGTGATGTGGCACTGTTATGCCCAATGAGACGAAAGTGGTGCCACCCACGGGATTCTGGGAGTGCTCAAATGTGTCACTGGAGTTGCTCCCTAGTCCGGTGCTGTCTGGAGCTGCAGCAGCAGCCCTGTGACCATGAGGACAAAGCCCCAGCAACGAGGAGGCATCAGGCCTGACACCAGCCCACCACACTGAGAAACGTTTTTTCCTATCAAGGGCTGTCAGCTTGACAAGGACCTCTCCTCCTGCCCTTTGCACCAATTAGCCAAGAACTGTGGCTAACAAATGGGGATATTACAGAGATACCTCAGTGGAAACTGTCACGGGGGAGGGGCAGCGACTAGCAGATGCTGACGACAGCGCACGCGAGTTTGAGGAAAAGTGGGGCTTTGTCAGAGTCTCAAAACGTCTTCGAGTTCTATTTGGAAAATGGTGGTGGGGTTGACAGGAGAAGTACCCTGGCAGACGGACACCACCTTAGCCAAGGGAGTCACATGACCAACGCCGGCGCTAATACGTGCAGACACCGTGGAGCCCTGGGATGATGCCGTGATGAGGGAACTTTACTTCTGTGATATTCTTCCAAGAGACAATATTGTCTCAATAAAGTCAAGGGAAGGGGCTGGAGAGATGGCTCCGTGGTTAAGAGCACTGGCTGCTCTTCCAAAGGTCCCGGGTTCAATTCCTAGCACCACATGGTGGCTCACAACTGTCTGTAACTCCAGTTCCAAGGGATCTGATACCCTCACACCAATGCACATAGAGTAAAACTAAATAAGTGATTAAAAAAATAAAGTCAAGGGAAAACATTAAATAATCCCAAATCCAGGCACTCTGAAATCACAGAGCGGGGCAGCATGCTTCCTAAGTCACAGTAGACAAGAGAAAGTGCTGGAACCTGGCACAGACCAGAGAAGAGCAAGATGCCATGACGGGCTGGGGAGAAAGCTCACTCAGGAAAGTGTCTGCTGTCCGAGCATGAGGACCTGGCCCTTGTGACAGAGGCAGGTGTGGCATGCATACTTGTGATCTCAGTGCTGAGGCCGAGCAGCAGGCTCCTGAGGATCACTGGCCAGCCAACCTAGTCTAATTGGCAGGAACTAGGTACCAGCCCAAGAACCTGCCTCAAAAACCAAGAGGAAGGGCTCAGGCGCGATTGTTGCTGGTACAGAGGAGAGAGGTTTGGCTCACAGCATTTACATAGGACAGTTCAGAACCACTGCAACTCCAACTCCAGGGGAACCGAACACCTCTGGCCTCCGAAGACACCTGAACACGCAAACATGCAAACACACACACACACACACACACACACACACACACACACACACAACCACCCCAGATAAAAATTTCAAAAGTTAAAAACCCAAACAAAGTCAGGTGTAAGGAAGTACACCTTTGATTCCAGCACTTGGGAGGCAGAGATAGGTGGATTTCTGCGAGTTCAAGGCCAGCCTGGTCTACAGGGTGAGTTCTGGAGCACCCATGGCTACATAGTGAGACCTTGTCAAGCGATAACAAAAACAAAACAAACGAGGTGAACGCCAACAGAGCTGTGATGCCTGCACACAGAGACTGTCCCACAGACACGCTCCAAGGAGCTGGCAAAACTTTACCAAGCCCGGGAAAAGACACCAGGGAAAGCCCAGGGAAGGACCAGCCAGCTGCCCTGGCTTTACTGCAGATTTACAGCTGCAGGGCTAGGATCTTCCATCCTCTGCCTACCCTGCTGGGGTCTCCCAGCCCTTGCCTGGCACCTCAATGTAGAGGCTGGCATCGGCATTCAGCAACGCTTCATTAGGAACCAAAAGAGCATATGCCCTGAAGCCGACCCATCACAGAACACGGAAGAGCACAGAGCCTGTTAGGGGAAAAAAAATCACACCCAAACACTCCCAAATTTAACCTACTTAAACCTACACATCCAGATAAGTATTTACCATACATGCATATTTTAATCATGTTCGAGCACCTACGTGGCTGCCGCTGCTGAATTCTGAACCTACAGAGAGCAGGAGCATACAGTAGGTGTTCTGTCTCCCTATACAGCAGGCTCACTAGGAAGTCCTTTGTGTGAACTTAAACAAAACCAAACAAGAGTGATGTATACTCTACATAAAATTTAAGTTGAATTAAAACAGTGTAAAACCAAACTCCCCTGGGTGTAACTGCTCATGAACAAGGCTCCCTGAGACTCAGTGTTGCGGAGGAATGCTCCAGAAGCATGTGTTTGAAGCTTGGGTTTGATCTTAGACAACAGACTGAAATACGAATATGCATATGTGTACGCATATGTGGGGATGGGGGGGGGCAGCGCGCTCGGCAGTGAGTGACAGCGTGTGACAGCGCTCACCTCCAAGGGGGTGTGGGGGCTGACGGGCGCTGCCAGCTCTTCTGATACCTTGTGTGCATATTTGAAAATAATAAAGACGTGTACCACCTATAAAATGGAAAGAAATAGCATATTGCTTACCTTGCCACGCCCTGGATACTCACGAACCTAGAAGGTCTTCCGACAGCATCTGTGGAAGGGAAGAGAAAAGGTCACGCCTCTGGCCAAGTGGTGCAGGCCCTCCCGCTGGAACAGCCACCTGTCACACTTGACACACAGCCACCAGACTCTGGCACCGAGAGCACGCTGGGAGCAGGAGAGCCGCTGCCCGGCGAACAAGCCTCACAACCCAAGAGCAGGGCTGGCTGGTGTCTGACACACACGAAGATGAGAGGCCGGGGGCAGGCGCACAGCAGAGGAAGCCTCCGCAAGGAGAGATCAAACAGGTAAGATCACAAACCAGGCCTACCCTGGAGAGAAGCCAAAGGGCAGCCGGTACACACTGTCCACGGGGGCACACTGGGAGCAGCCAGCAGGCCAGAGGGGTGGGTAGCGTGGCATCGAGGACAAAGGATGGCTAGAGGAGTGTGGGACATACACAAACATTTCTTTCAGAGAGCTACGTGCGGAGAGATGAGAGACAAACAGCACTTTTCTGGCATCAGTTTAGGTCCATGAATATTTGATAGGGCTGTATTTATTTGGATGAAAGATGAAAAGTTCTGAGTATATAACGTGTGTGTGTGTTGGGTGTGTGGCTCATGTCAGTCTCTTCCTGTTCCTGGCCTGGAAGCCAGGTGAGCTGAGCAACCACCACCAGCCCCAGGACGGGCAGAGGAAGGCGAGAGAGAGATGCTTTACTGACTCTGGCTTGTGAGTCACTTACACCTAGCAGGGACCATCTTCTGCCCTCTGAGAAAACACCAACACAGAAGACCAACACAACCCCGCCCCCAAGGATCCAAGAGGGAAGAAGAGACAGAACCCAGGCAGCCTCACTGCAGGCCCTGGGTCCTGCACTCACAGCTCCCGACCAACCCAGAAGGGCAGAGGCCACTTAAAGGTAATATTAGAAACAGTCACTACATACAGACCCAGCAACTACAGGAAAACACATACTTCAGAAGGACCGGAAGCGCGCCCCCCTACCAGCTGGCCTAACAACTTTGACTTCCGAGATGTTGCGCAGGGTGGGTGGGAAGAAGCCAAACTCACGACACCTCTTTATTTTATTTATTTATTTATTCATTCATTTATTTATTTATTTATTTATTTATTTATTTAATTATTTATTTATATTAAAGCAAATTTCTTCGCTGATCAGGAAGCCCCTGAATGCAGCCCTTTTACATTGCAATGAAAACTGCCTTTTTTTTTTTTTTTTTTTTTTTTTTTTTTTAAAATAATACTTTTTTTTTTTTTTTTTTTTTTTTTTCCTCTAAAGTAATACACATTTTGTTTCTTTGAGACAGAGTCTCACTAGGTAGTCCTGGCTGTCCTGGAGCTCACTGTATAGACTGGGCTGTCCTTGAACTCAGAGCCTTCTGAATGCTGGGATTACAAGTCCTTTGGGGCTAAGAACCTATGGACTGCAACAAGTGGGAGGCCTTTCTGCAGGGGTCACCTCACAGACGGGGAGGGAAAGCGCGGCCCAGGGGACAGCAGTGAGCTGAGGCCCCCAAGCCTCCTCAGGCGCCCTGGGGCGGGAGGGAGCCCTTGCAGGTACCTCAGCAACCCCCGCATGCCCGTGGCTGTGGCCCATCAGTCAGGGCATTGCACGCACAGCAGGTTTATATACCAAGAACACTGTCCCAGAAAAACACAGATGGGGTGACCACAGCCCAGTAGGGATGCCAAGGTTGAAATCCTCCCCGTGGCCACAGGCATGGGCTTAGAGAGCCACGGTCCAAGCAGGCCGCTCAGAGCTGGTCCTGGAAGTTGTATTGAGCACAGAAGGGGTGGCAGACATGGACTGACAGGGCTGATTTGCCAACCTGGCAAACCCTTGATAGAAACACTCGCGTGGTCACTCTGCCAGGCCAGCTCTGGGCTTTTTGCGTCTGGAGCCATTAGCTTCCTTTTGAGGTTTAAGACAGGGCAATTCTGTCCCAACAGAAATAACAGGACAGGAAGGGACGTGAAAGAACAGGAGTGCGTGGTCATTTGTGTTTAAGGGAACGTGACCCTTTCCTGACACTGCCGCTTTACCTTGTGGGAGGAGCCACACTGTGGGGATGCCACAGACCTCTGAGGCAGTGTCCTCAGGACCCGTCCGCTTGATGGACAAGGACACTGAGGTTCCGGAGGTGTAGTGACTTGTCGGGGGACACTGAAGGGCGTACTACAGCCCCAGCGAGACTGCAGAGGAAAGACCATGACACAACAGACCCCCGCTGTACAGCTCACAGCAGCACCATTTGCTTCCTGTGTCACAAAATGGGCTTTCAGGGCAGTGTCTGCCCAAGGTTCCACAACTCCATATTCACCATGCCAAAAACCAATCTTTTGGGAGCTATCTGCAGGCTGATGACCTTGGATTTGGCCCTCACTGAAAGGCCCCTAAGCAGGCACTGCTGTCATGGCTGGGCAGGCATGCTCCTGGCTGCCCCATGGTGAATCAACATACTTGCCGCAAACAAAAGGGCCAGGAAACCACGGAGGGAACCCTCTAGAACTCAGCCAAAATAAACCTTTCTCTTTCCAAGTTTACTGCCTCAGGTACGTTGTCCCAGCAGGGCAAAGCTGATGGGAACAATCCTTTTTACCTCTGTTTCTGTTGTTTGTTTGGAGACTGGGTCTGACTCTGAAGCCCAGGCAGGCCTCAACTCTGAGAAGGTCCTGCCTCAGTCTCCTGAGTGCTGGAAGGACTGGAGTGGGCTCTCTTAGCATGAGAGCCACGCAGCCAGCTGCGTCTCCCTGGGCATCCCAGGCGAGTGAAGGAGAAGCACACCCCCACGGCCTTCCACCGTGAGCTGCACTGTCTCTCCCGGCCTGTCTGAGAGCCTCCTCTGGGGAGCAGAAACTCACCAACCACCAAAGGTGTTCAATGGAGCCCCATTTAGAGGTGATTCCCGGCACATCCAGCCCCACCTCATCTTTGAAATAGCAACTCAGGAAGAGATCTGCTCATTCAACCGCCTCTGCCCACATTCCGACAAAGAGCTGATAGAGGAAGGAAGAATTCTGCCTGGGGAAAACGGAGGCCCTCAGCAACCGCTGAGCTCATGCTGCAATTAATCACGTTTTCTCTTATGACCTACATTCTATTAATAACCCACACTAGTGACTGAGTGTGTGCTTCCACTGAGGGATCGATGACCACAACCGGGTCGCGGGCTTCCACGACCTTACCTCCTCACCGTCCACACCTCTGACTGGCCTGCCTCTGAAGGTGTGCTAGAGGCCCTGGCCATACGCTGCCTGCGGCTGGGGCCGGCTTCGGGGTTCCTAGGCAGACCTCTGCCGGGAAGCTGCTTAGGGAAAACAACACGGTGTGACCGATTCACACGGCAGATTGGCCAAAATGTCAGAGTCTGATACCACCAACTGTGCTGGTGCCGGAGCTCGGGGACTCTCAGTCACTGTGGGTGGGAACAGAGCTGGAACAAACGCTTTTGAAAAGAAAGTCGGCAAATTTCTTTCTTTCTTTCTTTCCTTTTTTTCCCCTCTCTTGCAACAGGGTCTCACTTTGCAGCCTGGGCTGGTTTCCAACCACCTTACAGCCTCCCGAGTGCAGGGACTACAGGTGTGGGCCCTTTTATTAATTCATTCATTCATTCATTCATTCACTCACTCATTCATTAAGATAGGGTTTCTCTATGAGGCCTTGGCTGTCCTCCTGGGTGCCACCACCACACCCAGCTGCAGTCACACTCTTAACTGATCAGATGGCTTGTTTTTATGTCAACCCGACACAGGCCAGGCTAGGAAGAGGGAACCCCAACTGGGAAAATGGCCCCCCAGACTGGCCTGTGAGCAGATTTATGGGGTATTTCTTTGATTAATGACTGATGTGGGGGTCCTGGATGGTGTAACAAATCAAGCTGAGCAAGCGAGTAAGCCATGCCCCTCCATGGCCTCTGCATGGGTTCCTGTCTCCAGGTTCCTGCCCAGCCTGAGTTTCTGACCTGACTTCTTTGGATGATGAATTACAAAGTGTAAGACAAAATTAAGCCTTTCCTCCCCAAACTGTGTTTGGTCACAATGTTTTGTTTTTTAATTTTTATTTTATTAATTACAGCTTATTCACTTTGTATCCCAGCTGTAGCCCCCTCCCCCATCGCCACCTCCCCAATTCCACCTCCCTCCCTCCTCTTCTCCTATGCCTCTGGTCAGTGTTTTATCACAGCAATGGGAACACCAGCCAGAGAACACAAACATAGCCTGGAAAGTGTCTTAGCAAGACAAGACTGTGTAGAAACCAAAGCTTTCCACCAAGCAGGATTGGTCACATTCACGCAGCAAGACAGTGTTTGGCCTGAATCAATTCTCAGAAGACCTAAACTGAGTCTAGCTTCTTTTTCGGCCTCCATGAGCACCAGCTAAGAGGTCACGCTGAGGCTAAGCCCAGGCTAAGCCCAGCCTGCACACACATCTGCACATGCCCTGCTGGCTGGGAAATCCTGCCGAGCTCGCGGGTCCTTTCTCCTGCTGTCACCGGCCATTTGCTGGATATGCCAACAGTTAAGCCCCTTCCCGCACGGCAATGAAAACAGCCTGTCAGGGTGGCTTCCACCACCGGGTGACTTTCCACAAAGCATTCCCCAGCCCCAGCTAATCAGGTAAAAGTTAGGACAGTGGTCAAGCCACCCAAATAGGTCAGGTTTTGGCTGCTAATCCTCTTATTCATAATACAGTACAAGGGAAGAATTTATCATTGAAATTGTCCACAGCTATTTAACCTTTCAGGTCCTTCATCTGGTATGTGGGAATAATGAGGGCCCTGGGAGGGATACTTTTTTAAAAAATGACAACTGTTTACGGCATGATCTGTCACCAGAAAGTGCTTAATAAATGTTATACTTTATTCAAAACGCTGTGGGACTTTCGCTAATCTCAAAGTCTCATCCCCCAGACCAACTAGATACATGGAGAACTTCGTGGGCCTGATTCTGGCCGCTTTTGGGGGGGGGCGCTAAGGGGAACAGTACGAAGGGCCAGGCTAATAATGAGCAGGAGTGGCTGCTGTGG